ATATGCTCTTGTTTATTTTTTATTGTAAATCTGTGGGGTTTTTTCTCTTGTTAATTTCCCACTTTCAGAGAATTAAACTAAATTGCTAGTTTCAAATGAAAATAATATTTTCAAACAGGCCATAAGGTAGAGGCACCATAAATACAAAAAATGCAGATAGACTAATGAATAAAAGGTATTTCCTTCACGTTACTTCTTCATATCTTTCCACTTCCATCAGCTCACAGTTTTTCAGGGTCTCTGTACTTATAAAACTAAAATAAATAATCTTCTATTGCTCCCAATTGAAGCTCGTATTGCCATGGCCTGTCAACGTAACTCTTTCCTTCTAATCTGAAATATCAGGGATTAAACAGGCAGCCAACTCTCCATCCATAAATCTACAATCCCCTTTCCCCCTTTCTCTCTCTCTCTCTCACACACACACACACACACACACACACACACACACACACACACACACACACACACACACACACACACACACACACACACACACACACACACCTAAACCCACTGATTTCTGCTAGTCTTTTTGATGTTTTGGGAGGCAGAGAGTGGGAGGTGGGTGAGGCGGATTAGATTAAATTGGTCTAAAATCAAGAGATCACTCATGGCCGGGGGCCGACAGATAGAAACAGTGTGTGTATGTGAGAAAGAGATAGAAAGGGAGAAACAAAATGATCCAGTCAGCCAGAACCTGGCAGCAGCAGGTCGTTCAGCCCCGATATGACCCGGCTCTCGAACCCTACCCTCAGTCAATCTCCAGCATCCTGATACTTTTCCATAATATCACACTACACCACGTCTCAAATCTCATCATGACAGCCTCCAGCCTCCATCCTCCTATAGGACTTTAGGATTTAGCGCAACATTATATGTCTATACCTTGCCTCTCATTTTGACCAATAGGATCTTGGATGGTAGCAGGTGCACTGAGGGATCCTCATCCGCTTCCAAGAGTATTGGTGAAGTATTTGCCTCACTGGGCATGGAAGACGTTGCCCCATGGAATGCACTGGATTGAGTATGGATTTTGGACTTTTATGTGACAATTGAACAGAGAAAGACAGAAAGAGGCAAAGGTACAGGGGAGACGTGCGGAAACAGGAGTAGGGGAGGACAGGAAAAAGAGGGCAGGGAGATGGGAAACATAAACAAGGCTTCTAAAAAGAACGGTAAAAGAAAGAAGGTAAGGGTTGATTTCATTCCTTTAAGCTAAGAGAAACCGATTTATCAAAGTACGTTTGACTACGATATAGTTTGAACTTATTAAGATATTGAAGATAATTGATTTGTAAGCCTGATCATTTGTGAAAGTTAGTCCCAAACCCTAACGATTGACAATTACCCAGCTAAAGTTGAACTGTAAACAACATCTTGCGACCATTTCAACAAATGTTGGTTCTTATAAATCTATATTCTAAAAAGCACAAGACGAATGGTCTTGTGAATTGCAAGAGACGGAATTTAAGTCGCAACGTGGTCTGGGTCCTAATTCGGTTCGTTCCCCTCCTCTAAGGGGGAGTCGTCTGTAGAACGAAGCGGCGCCCCGTTGGCTGCCGCCATGCTGGGGGGCATGGGGGGTGCAGGTGAGCTTGACACGGATGACGAAGACGAAGGAGCGAGCGAGCGGGACTTCGACGAGCCCCTGTGCGCGCTGGTTCAGAACTGCAACATGCTGCACCACCTAGTGGGGCCTGCTTGTATCTTCCTCAGACAGAGCTTTGCACAGAGCCAGATTGTATGTATAGCACACACACACACACACACACACAATGGAATAATCATAGCCCATAAATCTCTTCATCCATCCATTTTCTCAGTGGCATCTAAGTACAAGTGAAGGTGAAGTTCCAGCCTATCCCATCTCCACCAATTACAATGTCAACCCCCGACCTCATCAATCCTATATACCTTCATATCACAATATTTCACAAGAGGTTATGTGATTGTGCTAGAAGAGCTGTTATATTCATTTGATTTACAGCTCTTTGAAGGCAGCAATGTGCCTTTTTGTTTTTAGGGGGCGGGCTACTAGGTTTAATTTGAAAAGATACCATTTTAACTTTTTTCCTTTTATATCTGTGGAACAAGTTTAAGAGTACTAAATGACTTCCTACCAGAATAAAATCAATGATTTTCATTATAGATATACAGAAGGTTACACCATATCCATTGAATTTACGCTCTGGATAAAGTCCGTTTTGTAAAAAAGGTTACCCTGCTTTGAATGTGATTTATGCAGAACTTAATATTTGTATGGTTTTTAGTTATAAATATGATAAACATTTATGAAGGAGATATTTATTTGACTGAATACAATGTATCAGAATAAATAGTTATTTGTTCTAAAGGCAAGTACTACCGTCAGAATTATCCATTATATTATAATATTCCAAAAATAATATGATCACATAATATAATCATGCAAACATGGCTTTCAAGTATACCAGTAAAAGAGTGATACACTAGGAAAGGTTCATTGTTATAACTATATCTAACCTTAAACTATTTTATAATATGTTTGCAAAATTATTTAAAAAAAATATATATATACATTGTTGTGCAATTGTGTGACGGATTTCTTGCACATACTGTATATCCTATAGTAGAAGTATGTTGTAAAAAGGGGCCGATTGTACTATAATGACTAAGAAACTGGCCTCCCAAATGATCTAGATTATAATTAAGATCATGAATTCATTTTCAAACAGTGCTAAAGATAACAGTGTCTTGCATGTCTTCTGTAGAGATGGGGGGGCATGGCAGAGATCAATAACAGAGTAATTTCCCCACAGAATAGCTAGCAGCGCTAATTGAAAAGAGCCATTAGGATGATAGTGTAGTCACTGATCACAGCTTTACCGAGCTATAGGCTTCTGAGGTATTAGAAGACCTTTGGCTGAGTCGATAGGAGAAAGTAATTATTTTAAGGTGTAAGGACACCAAACTTGAGTTGAGTTAAAAGGTGAGTGAATAATTGTTGGATTATAAATGAATGATCAAATAGCTACCAAAAATAAAAAAGTACCTACAAAAACTCAAACATCCAATCAGTCTTAGCTGTACTTTGTGTTAAGTGCTAATTATCTAGCTGTTAACATACTAAACTAAAATGATGACCATGTAAAACACTGAGCCCATAGCTAACCAGCTGTTCTATGTATAACCAAACAATACCAAACAAATGTATCCGATTGTCCACTTGTAGACAAAAGCCCCGATAAATTGGCATTCGCTCTACATTTTCAAAGACGCATCAGAAAGATTTGTTGCAGACAACCAAGTGGTATAGCAGGTACCACTCTGCGGTTCCAAATGTTGTAGTGTAAAAAGTTTTGACAGCAAAACCTCCAACCGGCTCAGCAGAACAGACGATCCTTGCTGCCCAAATGTCTATTCTCTCCTCCATATTATATTATTTTTCTTCCCTGATTTTTCTTGATGAAAATGATCAATGTTAGAACTTTCTTTCTATCTATCTGACATCAGCGTCTTTTCTAAGCTACAACATCTAAACGTATAGGACAACTTCTTCTTATGGGTTGGGAAATGGGATTCCTTGACAGAGAACAGAGATTAGTGTCACTTTTGTGGATATAGTGAGAGTAATAGCATTTACTATTTGTCAATACCCCTTAAACCCCGTTGTACTCTAAAATGGCAGCAATGAGCGCAGTAATAATCCCTTCTTGTTTGTACTAACACCCTTTAACTATTCCTTTGGTGTAAGTGGTACCTTGTTTTTGCGACATGGGAGAAGTACTTGAATCTTTACTTTAGGAAATTGTAACTCAAACATGTCTTTGCTTCAAAAAGTTTAGTTAATGCTGGGTTGCTGTGTTTTTGTTTTTGAGAGCAATCAGAGTGTTGTTTGGGAATAAAAGCAGAAAAGAAACACAGATGGTAGCAAGAAAAACATTTTCCTCACCGCCTCTGTGCCTGAATTTGAGTTTAAACTGACAGTCACAAATGTTCAGCCAAAAAGACAAATCGGTACACAGTGTGCAGGTGTGTACGTGTTTGTTAATAGGGTACTGGTCGAACAGCAGATGACAAATGCAGATGAAAAAATCATTGGAAGATAGGAAAATGAAAAACCGATAAGCCTTCGTGATTTGTAATACAATTTACAGCTGTAATCTCCCTGCCACTGTTCTCTCCCCTGTATCCTCTAATCCAGGCCCATATTATTCCTGTTGATGATGTCACAGTATGAACAAATATATCCATGCATCAACTTTTGGCTATGCAAAACAGGGTGAAGCCAAAATCAAATACACTGTAAATGATTTATTGGTGTGTGGCTAGCTACGTGTTACTGTTTTAACTCAGTTCTAGGAATTTTAGGCTCCAAATTAGGGGTTGGTTCTTTGGGTTCCTCATAATTGTATCAATATACAAAGCCTTTTATGAGTTTACATGCATGTATTGCGAATATGGACGTGTATGCATTTTCCTGTATGTTTGTGAAGGGATAGGGTTTTCCATGATGCCTTTGAAATGCTTGTTGTGGAGCATGCATAAGCTAAAAGCGTCTGCAATGAGATTGGACACAAGCTTTTTTTGGCAGATCAACTAATAAGGTTATAAGGGTCAGTCAGATCAAAACCCAAATAATCCAGCAATTGAATCTCTGTTTAGGCGTCCGAACAGGGAATAAACAGGTTTACAGGAGCAATGGAACTACTAGAACCTAAGGACTTAATTTGTTCTACATGTTATGTCTTTGTGGAAATGTGCCTGATCACAGAATGAAAGTTTGTGTTTGAAATGACTGGCTGTCCATTTCTCTCTTTGTGTGGGTCTATTCTTCTATCCGCCCCACTGCAGGACAGAGATCTACGACCAGAGGAAATGGAAGGTAGATATCAAAAGCGTAATCAAATCATAGCTCTTTCTCTCCCTGACTCCTGTCTTCTTCCTTTTAATCCTGAAACCCTCTGTTTGAATCTGAAAAAAGTGCTTTACTGTAAAGAGTACCATTTAGACTTTCCTGACTTTACCCTATGATTTCCATACTTTGGAGAAGATCACATTTTAAACAGTGACAAAGAAAAAAGCATGGTAGCACTTACTAATAACGCTACTATAACAAAGGTCGGTAGCACTTTATATTAAGGTACACAAATTAACCATCAACTAGTTGTTCATTAACATGCATATTAGCAGTATATTGGCCCTTTATTAGTCATTATAAAACACTTATTAATGCCTTATTCTATATGACCATATTCTACAAGTAATAAGCCATTAGTAGAGAGTTTTTCCTCAATAACCCTCTAATTAGTGCTTATTTATTTGCAAGTAAGGAAGTTGTTGGACATGAGTTTTGGTCTTAATATACTCTGCTCAATATGGGCCTAATAAGGCAGTAGTACCACAAGAACAGTAATTCTACCATAATAACCCTTAACAAATATGATCTATTCTTATGTAACAAGACATTATAATGACTAATAAAGAGCCAATATACTGCTAACATGCATGTTAATTAATAACTAGTTGATGGTTAATTTGTGTACCTTAA